TTCTGGGGTTTAATGACATCTGGAAGCATGCTAGATACAGTTTGAAATTGCTAACCACTTTAATTGCTTTTTAAATAATGTCCAATTTTTTCTGTGGTTTGTTTTAATTATTTTTATTGTACATATTTGTTGGAGTTGTGAACTGAGAGAGCAGTATAATTTATTAACCACAATCTCAAAACAAAGTTCCTGTCTTCAGACCTCTAACTGGTCTGATTTTGAAGAAGCTGAGGCACACACAGCTGGCTGTGATTATCAGGTTTCAGTGAATATGCTCCATCATTTCTAGGTCTGTGAACCTGAGAATCCGTGCAAGGACAAGACACACAGCTGCCACAAGTCTGCAGAGTGCATCTATCTGGGCCATTTCAGTGATCCAATGTACAAATGTGAATGTAGAACAGGTTATGCTGGTGATGGACGCATTTGTGGCGAGGATTCAGATTTGGATGGTTGGCCTAATAATAACTTGGTCTGTGCTGCTAATGCAACATACCACTGTGTGAAGGTAGGTAAAAAAAGGTTGATAAAATGCTATGTGTTAACAACATTTTCACTTTTTCCTAAGAAGTTGTGATTAACCCTTTTAATTCATGAAGCTGGTGGTTTCTTTCAGTAAGTTTTGACTGTTACAACATGCTCATTTTCTAGGAGATGCCATGAAATGTGTATTCACTTAATCTGGTAGGATACAATAAGGGATTCTCCAAATTAAATACAGAGTCCTCTGCTTTGGATTTTTTCCTACTCAGAACACATGGCCAATTGGGATGCTTGTAAATGGAGTTAGGACACTGAGCAGGAGTTGCCTAAAGCATGGGTGTGAAGCACAGAGCTAGTGAGAACCAAGCAGGGATCTCAGGGCCCAGGAGAGTGTGAAATCCTATGTACAGGGCTTGTAAAAAGACTCTGACAGCCATATAAGGGCTAGAGTTCAAAATGCTGTCTTGAACTACCCTTGTTTTTAAAGAGTTAAGCAGACCACACTCTGTGACAACTGGATTCAGAGCCCAAGATAATTTTTAACAGTAGGAGCCTAATGAATATGACTAATTAATGTACTCCTTATTGCAAAGGCTCACAGGACCAGGATGAGAGATTCAGCCTCTCTCACCCTTCAGAGATGTGAAATCCCAGCTCTCACCCTCGCAAGGGGAGTCACCTGAACTGCCTGCCAACATTGGCTCTGCATGTGGCAAATGGGATCTATCCAATCTTGCTGTGCAGCTGTGCTGTTGTATTGAACAATGAAACATTACTACACCCATAAGAAAAATTAGCATCAGGATTCCTAAAAATGGTGGCATGTCAGTTTAATAGGGTATGTCCATGTGGTATATTCCCTGAGACCTGGTTCTGTGCTCATCTGAAGGGCACAGTAAGTCTTGATTTCATGGCCTGAGCTTCCTTCCAGTGGGAATTACTCAAAAATGGTGAGCTTCCTTGTAGGTCTTACCCTGATGCTGTACGAAACCAGGCTGAAAGTTGCTCTGCCAGTTTAACAATGGCTTAAATAGCTAAAGGAGCAAGGGCACCCCTGACAGGCAATCCCCTGGATCCTAGTTCTGAGTGGTAGCCTTGCTGATGGCTGAATTACAGGCACAATACAGAGGGGCATACACTGATTGCAGCAACAAGTTAAGCAACTGGGATGGAGGAGTTTTGTCAGAGTAGAAGGCATGTGCAGGTGTTCAGTTTTAAACACCTACCTGTGGGGCCACTGACAGAACTGGATTACCTGTGTATGTTCACTAGGAAGACACTCAAGTATTTTGCTAATCAGTAATGGCTCTAAGGGCAAGATTTTCTCTTCTGAGGTCTTTGAGGGTTTCTTTTCCCAGATCTGAAACATTTTTGCTGCTCCATGTTAAAGTGATATGCCTATAAATCTTCTAGAAGTTCTAGCAAAAAAATTCTGCTTAAAAAGAAAAAAGAAGAAAGAAATACAAAAATGACTGATCTCTAGACTACTATAGTGGTTAAAACACAGACCAAGAGGCTAGGAAAGTTTGAAATCAGGCTTTTTGAGAGACTAAGTCACTTGTGTGCATCTGGGCTCTGTCAGCCCAGATATGAATGGGAATTTCAGATATGAATGGAAATTTGCGCCTCAAATGTTGGTCTTCCTCACTGTAATTGATGTTTGTTCATTGTAGATTCAGCCAACTTAGCTGTTGCACTTCATATATATTTCTTTCAGTTCCTGTCATCAGAATTTGCACGTGTTCACTCTTGATGTAACACAAAGCATTTGTTTTGGTTAGATACAACATGCTGAACCCATTCAGAAAAAACTGTTTCCAAAGTTTGTTTAATATTTTGTGTAATATGTGTTGATCTAATAGACACAAGTACTTCATTTAAGTACACTCCACCTGCCAAAAAA